AGGAATGCATGAAATACCAATCAATTAAGACATTTACCTAAATATGTAAGAGTTTTGTATGAATTGAATACCTGTTTGGCTCCCAATAGGAAACTCTTGAGATCAAAGTCTTTGTCTAAGAATGGCTTCAAATACAAGTAGACAATGAGTCGGTTCTTGAGGGCATACAACACATTAGGCATCCCTTTGGGTGTAAACCTCATGAGTGGCGGTATTTCGTAGACAAATGACTCTTCATTTGACTTTTCATTATCGGTCGACAATTGTCTCATAGATCTGCAGTCGATCATCGCTTGTGGCCATAGTTTGTGTGTCTTATGGCTATAATAAGCGCTGTTTTTGACACAATTTAAGCCAAATTTACTTAATTTACAAAATCGATGACTCAATGAATACATGATTCAAAACAATCAGTATTTCAGTGAATGTCAACAAAAACAGCTGTTTTTCACATTCAGACAAAACATACGTTACGTCTGCAGAGAGAGTTCAATGACTGCATGACTTATGCAATAGTTTTCTTATTCGCACTTTTGAGACCACATTCGTGATTAGCACCGGTAGCCTAAAGTTTAGGCCCTAAACTATGGACATACATGTTGTCCATGTACTACAATAGTCACTAATACTCACAATTGACAAATGTTTAAACCGGTAAATGGGTAAACAGTTTGACTCCAATTCTTACAATGAAATGCAATTCTCAGGGAATCAAGAATTGATGAAAAAAGTGCAAAAATGTAATTTCATATCAAACAGTGTTTTATTTAAAAATTGTATCAATTTCTCTGAAGTTGTGGTCTCAAGAAGTAATTGAACAGAAAATATACCTTAAAAACTATAACATTCAATAATGTAATACAGTGATCACAATTAAACAATACATACAAATGCATGCATTATATCGGTATATGATATAAATGATAGCAATAGTTGTCTAATTAATCTCATTCTTAACAATGCGTAAGGTTTTGAAAACTAAAACAAATGAAAGTTTTAACGGATAATCGGTTCACAACTCATATCATAGTCTGACCTGAGATTCAACTCAAGAGTAAAGCAAACGATGACTACCGATAAGAGTGAAGACAAGAAAGACAGACAAAAGCAAAGATCCAAAACAGGTCTCGAAATCGGCTTCTGATTCGTCCGCTAAGACCAGTCGGCAGTCAAGGCCTCAAAGACAGGTTCGTCGTCCGGATCTACCGGTTCTCTGAAAGCCAAGGAACCGGAGGCGACCACCAGTTCCGCCAAATCGAGTGAATCGGAAAAGACGGGCACTTCTGAGGCACAGAAGGAGAGCCCAGACGGCGGACAGGAGAGCAGTGAAAGCCCGGGCAGTGGACAGACATCTGATGGCAATACGACTG